TTAACCTTGACATGAGTTAAAATTCTAGTACAGTTGCAGGAACTGAGCATGACTAGTCTAGTGAAGAGAAGGACGTGGGGAGACATGATAGCAGTGTTCCAATATTTGAGGGGCTGTCACAGAGAGGAGGGGGTGAACTTATTTTCCCAAGCACCTGAAGACCACACAAGGAATAATGGATGGAAACTGATCAAGGAAAGATTCAAACTAGAAATAAGGAGAAATTTTCTGACAGTGAGAACAAGCAACCAGTGGAACAGTTTGCCTTCAGGTGTTGTGGGAGCTTCATCACTGGATATCTTCAAGAAGAGACTGGACTGCCATCTGTCAGAAATGGTGTAGGGACTCCTGTTTGGGCAGGGGGTTGGACTAGATGATCTACAAGATCCCTTCCAACTCTGTTATTCTATTCTATTCTATTCATAGGTCTGCAGGGTTTTTTTAATTCTTTCAGAAGAACTGTGTGGCAAAGATGTATCTTCACTCTATAAAAAAAAGCATAGTACTTGCATAGAGATTATGGCTGTGCATCATTCCTTATCCCCCTCTCTGAACTCAGCAGCTAAAATCTTTTTAAGATCTCATCCTGGTAAAACTCTCAGAAATATTGTTCAACTATAATCCGATGTGTATCACACTGTCCTAGGAATGTATTATTTTATAGTTTTCTTAATGCATGGCTCTGCAGTTCATGACATAAGATACAAAATTATTTGCATGATTCTGATTTTTTTTTTTTAAAAAAAATGTGTTTGTTGCAGAAAGAGGGAGAATTACCCAGGCAATTGAATAAAAAAAATAAATATCAGTATCTGTTTAAAAGATGCCATTTGAATGATTTAATATTATATATTTCCTTTATGGTCCACATTTACTTTCTTTGATACATATTTTAGTGATGCTTATTCTTTTTACTTACAATGGCATATACAATACCGTTTATTATTTAAAAACCTTCTGATTTCTCCAGTGTAAGAAGATTGAAACATAAATATACAAATTACATGTAACTTTTTTAAAAAAACTAAACTTAAACACTATTATGGGAAATAATTATTTTCAGCCTCCTCCCCGTCCCCTCGTGTCTTTTTCTAATTTTTCAGCAAAGTTGTCTGTAAGCTTTATTTTTAATCAAATTCTTTCTGATGGTTTAGGGTCCCTGCTTTGGGGGGGGGGGAGAGGGAGAGCTTGCTTTACAAGGAAGCTGGAATAATCTGCTTTGAAGTTACTCTGCTTTGCTTGCCCACTTTAGTCCGCGCATCACTGTCATATTGCTTCTGAGCAAACTGGCAAAAAAAAAAGGGGGGGGGGAAGATAGTTAAACATCTTGCCATTTATGAACAGGGAGAGGGCAAGCAGGCACCATTGCACCTTGACCACCTATTATGAAGCTCTTTGCTGCAATGTCAAGTGAAAGCAAGTTAATTGGGTGAAGCTGTAGAGCATGTTAGGGGCATAGTAAAGGGATGCTATCTGACAGCTGAGTGTCAGCAAGAGCTACTCAACTGTGGCTGAGAGACAGAGACCTGTCACAAAGTTCACGCATGCTGCAGCACAGTTAGGGGAGTTGAAATGTGGGTTCGGTCTCACTTTCTCCCTCATTGCATTCCGGCACCTTAAGATTTCACACTGGATGTGTTCAACCCTTGTTCTCTAAGCTGTTTTTTCCTTTTTTCCTCCCGAATTCAAATGATTGGACAAAAAGATGCTAATGTTTGGCAAAGTGAATGTAAATATCATCTTTCGTTCTCGCTTCTCGCTTCCCCCCCCCTCCCTTCCTCTTCCTTCCAAAGCGAAGAATCTACTTCGAGACTCTGAGACAAAAATTAGACCGCAGAGAGAGCACTAGAGGGACACACATCTCCATAAAGGGTTCTGGAGCCTGGCGATTAAAGGTCGCTGGTTAACAATCTGGGCAGCAGAACTTTGCCTCTTCAGATCTTTCGCAAAGGAATCCCTTACCTGAGATTCTTACAAGTTGGCCACCCCATCTATTCATTTGAATACCCCTCCCGCCAGCCCCGGCAATTCAAATGAAGGGAGCAATTTGAAAAAAACAAAGTCTGGGAGTAAATTAACAGAAAGCGGTGATAAAGGATCCTGTCGTTGGCATTTCAGCTGTAACTTTTAGAGCTGCAGTGGGGCGAACTCAGTCCGTATTACTACTCTGTGAAAGAACGAAATGCCTAGATCTTGAACAGATGCTTAATGAGAATGGCATACAGCCACAGCGCCCAACCTAAACAAAAGCAAAAAAATAGGAATATTCAAGATAATGAACATGCCAGTATTCTACATCTGGTTCTTCCGGATATCTTGAGACCAACTCCTAAAATTCCCTTTGGATATGATGGCTGGGAAGGGTAGGCAGCAAATGCAAAGAAGGTTCTAAGGATCTGTTAAAAACAAGTTTGTGTTTATGTATTTGATTAAGCAAGTTTACGTGGCCGCCCAGCTCACCGGCTGGTGATTCCAGGGGGCTTACAACATTACAGATTTTCCCTCTGTGCTCCTTTTCTGCAACTTTTTGAAGAACTTTAGAGGTTCCTTTATATTTATAAGGCAATCAACATAGGCTTGGGTTCCTTTTGTTTTTTGTTAAAAGGGCTGGTCTACAATATTTGCTGTACTACTATATCCTTGGAGACTATTGTCTCTGTAAAAGTTGTTTACCATCCCAACATATTAATCCCTTCCACTGTCGTGGATGCTTTTCTACATTTACTCTAAGTGCATTAATCCTGCCCCGTGCCAAATAGCAAAGGAAAGTAGAGATACTGAAGAAATCAACCATTTTAATCCAGAGGTGGATTTCTTGAGTTATTTCAATGTAGGCAACAACGCTCAGAAATTCCACCCTCCATCAGTCCACGTGTTTGCTTTATCATGGAAGGTGAGGACTATTAATGGCCAAGGCCACAGTAGCCCTGATTTCCACCCCATTGTTGTTCTTTAATTCTACCTGAGCAACTTAGGAGAAGCAACCTGACCATAGAGTGGAAACCTTGCTAACCCCCTCCCCCCCTGGCCCCATCACCTTTACCAAATGTTGAAGCCTTTTCTATTTCTATTGACTAGCTGCCAATCATTACGTTTCATACTTTTGTTGAGCATGGCTCCCTAAGGAAACCTGTTTTTTTGTTTTTGCTTTTTACCCTCTCCCCTCCTTTGGACTTTTGAGGTTGTTTTCATCCTTCTTCCTTTTGTTTGTTTCTTAAAAAAAGGGGGTGGCTTGTTTTTAAGGAGTAAACAAACATGAGCCCCAAAATGTCCTTTCGCCAGGATAAGCAGGTTGATTTGAAGAGACAGTAGTGCCAGCACACATGCACATTTAGCTGACCTTTAGCTCCTACTATTTATTGATGTCATTTACTTAAGCAAGACATTTAGCCTGATCGTCGTTCTGCAGCCTCGTTTAAAATACCGCACACATTTGTACAGAAGCTCTTTCTTCTCTCGAAGCAAATGAAGACATCCCAACCTTTTCTATTGTTTCTTTGATAGTGTGCTTAAATGTTCAGATAAACTTATAACTTGCTGATTTAAATAATAGATGTGCAAATACCTGACTTAGATGAGAGTAGCCTGGCTGGGCACTGTTAGACTAAAATCCACTAGTCCTGAAGACTGTGTGTTTCTATTTTGTGTACAAATTAATTTTGGGGGGGGGGAAACATTGCAGAACTGAAAGTATGACTAGTTTTAAAACATCTCCTTGGGGTAACCTTTTGAAATTGCTGCCATATGGATAGGTCTTAAAGGTCCAGCTTTTCACCCAGCTCCAAGATACTTTGTGTAATACCAGAAAATCAAGAGCCAACATCAAAGAAAAGTGATGAACTGTGTGATAGATAGAGCCATTGATTTTCCCCTCTTCCCAGGAACAGTAATAGAACTGGGAAGAAAAAGCTCTAAAAAAAAAAAAAAAAAGCCCCCAGAATTCACAGTAGCAGAATTCCAAATATTGCCTTTATATCTAACAACTTTATTGATTTGTTTTGCCTGCCAAATGTAAGCCATGGCATTCGACAATGGCGCATTGTGAGCGGTCTGTTTTAGATTCTTGTGTGTATATATATTTAACTGAGATTATATGTTTTAAAGCAGGGATCCCCAACTCCTGAGCCGCAGTTTGGTTCCAGTCCGCAGCCTGATGGATACAGCCTTTTTAAAGTCCCCTAGCCCTATTGTATTCAAAAAGTGTTAATGTACAATCTGGAAAATTTGCTTGGGTTTACTAGATATTTCGAGACAAGAATTCAATTTGCAAGTGATTTCTTTTACTGTGCACGGACTCTTAGTTTTTATCAGTATTCGGGACTCTCCTTGTGGAAAGCAAAATATGGTTATTTACAACTTTTAAAATATTCCAGGCAAAGAATGATAAAACGGTTAAATATTTAAAACTCATGACCATTTCCACCATCTTTTCTCAAAAAAGGTTTAGTAAACACTTCTGTTTTTATTTGTTGTTTGTAAGACTTACTTTACATTTAAGAAATCCATGTAGTCAGATAATCGTAAACCAGTGCATGACAGCAGATTTTTTAGCTATATTCAAATATTTAAAAAGAACATATGTCATCAAAGCATCGTATAAGCCAAAGGATCAACTGCACTTTTAGAAATTGTTATTAATGGGTGCAGTCAATAGATATGTACAGTATACTTGCATCCCTTTGAAATCAGTGGGGCTTAAAGTTACGCATATTTCATGTAATCCTCATTTAGCGACCACAACTGGGACCATCAGTTTGGTCACTAAGTGAAACCACAGCCATGCTTACTGTCATACTTCACTTTTCCTTTGCTTTACAAACTCAAGAAGGTTGTAAATGTGAAAATCAATTGTAAAGTTACTTTTCATCACCATCGTAATTACAAATAATTGCTCAATGAAGGAGTTGCTAAACACGGACTACCTTCTAGAGGTGATAGCTACTCTTTTTATAAAATAATTAATGGCAAATGTTTTTGTTGTCTTATTTTTTTTTCCCTAGGATTCACGAAATGCTTCAAGCATCCTTACTGTGTCAAGCTCTTTACCCCAGCTAGATCAAGGCTGTCTTCCAGGATTTTTGCCACTAAAGTCCGACTCAGATTATGATCTGCCTTTTACCTTGGCACATAATAGACCTCCAATCTCATCATCCTTTCCTTCAAACCTACATGTCACGTCTGCCAAAAGAGCAATGCCAAATGGATGTTAGAATCTAGTCATTTTGTAAGCAGCTGAAAGAGAATTAATTAAAGTCCGATTTTATTAGGATGTTCTTAGCCTTTGAATTGAAGTTTGCTCTCTATGCATTTCTATGGCATTAATTTTATATTCTTCACCAGAGGAAGGAGGGGGCCATGTTCCTATGTGCTGCATATCCCATGCCCAGCGTAACAGAAGGGTCATTTTAAAAAAAAAAAAACGAAAAACTTTTTATTTATCATAGTAGCTCATTTTTATGTAATATATTTTTAAATGTTAAAGAATGACACATTTGGGGTAATTTTCCTCAGACTTTAAAAAAAAATCAATAAGCCATTTTATTCTCTATCTATCAAAGTTGTTTCATACTTGTCTATTTTAAAACAGGGCTGCAATACTTTAATAGGATTGAGAGAGCTATTTGAAATGTATGCCAATGATTCCTGTCATTTCATGGCAGCCCTGCCATGGTTCACTGAGCCCTCTCTTCTCTCTTGTCAGCTCAACTGAAGACAAGCATTTAGTTGCAAACTTTAAGCAGGTTGTGCAAAACAGAAATGATGTGACTGCTTCTCCTCCTGCACAATTATGTCACTCCTGGTCAATGTGAGAAGGTCAGGTTGCCCCTTGTAAAGCTACATGATACCACTTGCCCATTTGAACAAGTTAAGTGCAGAATCCGGTCCCTGACGGCCCCCTTTTTATCAAGTCTGCATTTGATCAGGAAGTAAAAACAATGGTGTAAGGAGATTTGGAGAGGATGTGATTATGTGCTTTCATAAGGGCAGTTCTCCAGCCAGCATTGCAGGTAATAAATTTAGTCCGAGTTTCAAGACTTTAAAGTAATGGCTGCTCTGACCTTCAAAAATAAGCTCCTTTCTTTGTTGTGTTGTTGTTGGTAGGACCCAAGAGTGACGCCCATCTTTGATGCTGACAGAATTTAAAACAAGGCCATTGCCCTGCATTTTCTGCCTTGTAGCACACAAAAGTAAAATTGTATGTCAGGCCAAGATGTCGGGGAGCTGACAAGATGCCCCAGTGACATTTCAGCTGGAAAGAGCAAGTGTCTTGCAACCAAGTGGTCAAATATCAAATAATAGGTCAAGCAGGAAGGAGCTGAGTTCTAACCACAAAGAGGTTTCTGGTAACTTACTTGACAAGCTTTTGGGCGCTTTGTGGCTTGACAAAGTGATATTCTGTTGGGTATCGCTAGACAGTCTGTTCTTTATTGCCTTCAGAAGATCAGACATTGACATTGATTAAACTCTTTAACCCTTAAAGGTTAAATTCTGGCTGTACGCATCATTGTGAAGAAAGAACAAAAGAAATTTTGTAATATATACCATTTGTTATGGTATTAATCACCCCTACTCCCCAGCGCCATTAACATTTGATGTGTGATGTAGTTTTTGACAGGGTTATTGAATGCAAAATCTATATGTTAGATTGCTTCTCATTATAGATCAGAGATACATTAGAAAAATAACATTGTGCTTGGTGGAATTTGTAATTTCTCATGCTTTGATAAGAGTAGGGTTTGATTCCATAAACCTGACTGCTAACATTTGTCTTTGTCCTATCATCCCAGAAGACATAAATTTGCATATGTAATACACCTACCACTCTCAGTAAAATCATGTAAATTCCTGACTGGTAATTCCAAAGCCACTCCGTGGAACTTTGAAATTTTTTCAAGTATTTCTTATTTTAAGTTTTCAAGAGGGTTTTCATGCCTGCAGTTGCAACTGTGCTCATTTAAAAACGAGCAAATCATTTTTGTAAGAGGTACTCTCTTCATAGCATGTTATCTCTGGTTTATTTAAGACAATATTTTTTTTTTCCTTCTGACTATTTCTACCAAGAGAAAAACCGGAAAAAAAGTAACATGTGTTATTCCAATCAGAGATTGCTTATCTTTTCCATATGAAATTTTAGCATGCTTTGTTTTGTGCTGTTTTTTGTTTTTTTTTAATCACAGTACACACTTAGGCTTTTTAAAAAGAGAGATAAGATGGAAATCTGATGATTTGCGTATCAGCTGTATAATAAGTCACAGTTTGAGATTAAAATCAACATAAATAATTTAAACATTATTGGTTTTAGAGAATTGGAACAGATCTGATTTGATTTTTTTTTTTAGTTACAGAGCACTGGAAATTCATAAAGGAATGTATAGATAGATCTACCTTTTACAAGCAATGAGTCTTAATGTTTTTAAACAGAGAGTTTTCAAAGCAGGCTGATCACAGCTAATATTATCTGGAAGTAGTTACGGCTACATTACAGAGCAGATATGAGAGCAGCAATCTTAGATCTTTTTATCTCAACATTTCCCAAGGAAACAGTATATACCTACCCAGAGTAAAATTTGTTCCCATTGCTTTATTCCCTGCTGCTCACAGCCATGTTTTCTTACCAAATTAGAATTTGCACAGTTCTGCTTATATTTGCTATTTATACAAAATATACCTGTATTCATGAATTCATGTATAAAATTCTCTCTCCCAATATTTTTCCTCTTTTCTGATCTCAGCATTCTGATCAACATTCAGGAGGGGCACTTGTGTTTGTGTGTGCGCGTAGAGGTCAAGCTTTATTAGCTCCACATTTAGAAATCTAATTAATTACAACTGTAGCCAATGTAATGAAATCACAATTCTATCATCAAACTTCCCTTAATCCATGACATGCTTAGATGTTTATACCGTCAGTGATGATATTCAGAACTTATCAACCCTGTGAATAGAAAACACATGTAAAATTATTAAATGAACCACTACTAGATGTCACTGCACAGAGAAATATTCAGGCAAGTAGAGGAATCAGGTCCACAGAATCTGACAGTTTGGCTTAAATAACAAATAACAGTTTGGCGTGTCACAACAGCATAACATAAGCGCTATAGCTTTTCCATTATGATATCAGGAGCATGTGCAAAAAGTGGCAGAGCCTACAGCATGAGACTTATTTTGTCCATTTCCTCAGATATATATTCTCCTCATGCCTTCAAGATGAATACGGGTATATATTTAATTCTGCTTGTGGAGATTTTGATGCTCTTTCAACTCTTAGTATCTCAGGTCTAACTGCTACAAGAGACGTGTCTCTATGGTGTACTTTCAAGAAATCTTGCTAACCAATAGTAAATTATTGCATTTCGTTTCTTCATTGCCCATGTTAGCTTGTACAGTGTATCAAATGAATGGCACAGTATAATGACTTGGCACATCCCCCTGTTTGCATTGGCTGTTTGATACTGAGATAAAGCCGAAATGAAAATACTCATCCAATCTTTTTGTCAAGAAAAGCATTTCCTTGTCTTGTCAGGTTTTTTTCTTCTTTGTGACAGTAGCATAACTTATATGCTCTATCATCCAAAGATAGGTTACATTTTTAAAAAGTATATAAAGCAGATTTACAAACACTTTTTAATGAAATTTTGTTCTGGCCATTTCAGTGGACATTTTTTCTTCATGTATTACGTAATTAATAGTACTTACGTAAATTATATACAATGTGAAGATGAAAAATGATATATTTTTACAAAGAAGCATTCGTTTTTCAAAGTTGTACTTAACGCACTCCACCAAAACGAACCCAGTTAAGTTTTAATAATTGAAATTGAACAAGAGTTATATCTAACGTCTAAGCTCATTCTATATCCAGTTTATCTACCTACTACAAAACAAGTAATGGAACATGTTTTTGAAGCCTTCTCAGCCACAGCTTCCATAAAATCTGTTAATATCATGGCTCTATTTTATGTCAACTGGCGTGGCCCAACTGACATCATTGTAATATTTACTAGAATTTTCAGAACATTTTTAAAAATATTTTGAAATTAACATCCCTATTTTAGTTGACAATAACCTCTCCATACCTTTATTTAATTTTTAGGTTTGAGCTACATAAGATTTTAACCTAAAAGGCTTTGCATTTTGAGGAGCTCCTTAACTTTCTATTGAAATTACAAACACACATAGTAAAGAAACAAATATTATTGTATGTCCCAACATGGCAGTGTATTAGCACCACGTGAATTGTAAATTTGGGGGCTGATGAAGGAAAGTAAGCAGAATGGAAGAGCATTTTAAGGAAGTAGATTTGACCATATTATACCTCTACCAATCTTAGCAGTGTATTAGGTTGGATTTAGCACAAAAGTAGGCTTGAAATAAAGTAATTTTTATTCTAAGAATATACTTCTGCTTCCAGGCTTAGTTTCAAAACTCTATATCGCCAGCATATTTTTTTTTCTAATCTACATCATTTACTAGGACTCCACACATGCTTTTCAGAAGCATTTTCTTGCTAAAGGAAATACATTTATTTTTGATACACGAAGCTGTTCTGGGCAATGTGCTGAATAAAGGGACCCATGAAGGAATGCAAAACTTGTATTGGCATATTAGTTTATGTGCATCCAAAGCAACCTCTAGAGAAGCTACCAGGCTCCACATTTATACAGTATACTCCTAGCTGATATAAGCTCCTATTCAATCCACATCTAATGAGTTCTCAGTAGGCAACCATAGGATTAGGCCGGGGTAGGCAACCTTGGCTCTTTTTGACTCATGGACTTTAACTGTCAGCTGACTCAGGAATTCTCAAGAGTTGAAGTCCATGAGTCATAAAAGAGCCGAGGTTGCCTACCCCTGGATTAAGCAATTAAAGTGTTAGAAGAGCATTCAATTTGAGATTGCTTATACACATTTTCTACATGGATAATTGAATGCAATCTTTAGTTTTTGTGATACCTGTTAGATTATGTCTGCAATTTTTAAAAAGCCCTTTTCTTACAGGAAATAACTTCTCCCTGTTAGTTTTGAAAAGCAATTTATATTTGATTATGATAAATTGTGGAAATCATCATGATCTGATCTGACAACAAACAAGGGTGATTGCAAAATTTCCATCGCCTCCTGGTTTATTTGAATCAGGAACACCCAACTGGGAAAACAAAGCAGCAGCATCTTCCAAAGAGCAAGCCCCATTGAAGTCAATAGAATTTACTTTTGAGTTAGCTTTCATAGAATCACACTGAACAACTTTGCTTTAATATAAGTGTCAAATGCTCAGCTGTGGATTTGACCCATGCAAGCAATAAATAGAAGGCTGGAACAAATATAAGCACCATATTAAGAACAGAATTAGTACCTCCCTAAGCAAGAATGCAATTATTGTTTCTGAATTTAGATAAAATGATAAGCTGAAATGATAGATAACAAAAGTTTCTATATAAATGTAAGACAATGAATTCACACATCAATATAGTCAAAACATGGTTTATTTGGTTTTTACTTGAAACTAGCCACTGTGGTTTATAAAACCAAATTTATAATGTATCATATAATTGGAATCCAACCATTTATGGCTTAATAAACAATCATCAAAAAAACAGCTGACTGTGATGTGAGAACGCAGTCATTCTGTGTTCTTCATTTGTTGACAGAGCTCTCTTCAAGCAAGCTACAGTTTTATTGCAATGTCACATAGTTGGTAACACTTAATACAAAAGTTCAAATGAGAATGAATCAAAAGAAATAAAACAAAAAAGTAGCTATCTTTTCAGGCAACATATTTTTCATTTCTTGTTTTAGGTTTTAAAACATAATAATAATATAAAAATAAAAATAATGTTGGAAGGTACCTTGGAGGTCATCTAGTCCAACCCCCTACTCAGGTAGGAAACCGTATACCATTTCAGAAAAATGGTGTCCAGTCTCTTCTTAAAAACTTCCAGTGTTGGAGCATTCACAGAGTCTGGAGGCAGGTTGTTCCACTGATTAATTGTTTTAACTCTCAGAAAATTTCTCCTTAGTTCTAGGTTGCTTCTCTCTTTGGTTAGTTTCCATCCGTTGCTTCTTGTTCTGCCTTCAGGCGCTTTGGAAAATAGCATGACTCCCTCTTCTATGTGGCACCCCTGAGATATTGGAACACTGCTGTCATGTCCCCCCTCGTCCTTCTCTTCATTAAGCTAGACATACCCAGTTCCAGCAACCGTTCCTTATATGTTTTAGCCTTCAGTCCCCCGATCATCTTTGTTGCTCTTCTCTGTACTCTTTCTAGAGCCTCAACATCTTTTTTACATCGTGGTGACCAAAACTGGATGCAGTATTCCAAGTGTGGCCTTACCAAGGCATTGTAAAGTGGTATTAATACTTCACATGATCTTGATTATATCCCTCTGTTAATGCAGCCTAGCACTGTGTTGGCTTTTTTGGTAGCTGCACCACACTGCTCGCTCATATTTAAGTGATTGTCCACTAGGACTCCGAGATCCCTCTCATAGTTGTTACTATTGAGCAAAGTACCACCTATACTGTACCTGTGCATTTGGTTTTTCTTGCCTAAATGTAGAACCTTATTTTTTTCACTATTGAATTTCATTTTGTTAGCACCCAATATTCAAGTCTGTCAAAAATACGTATGTTTTAGACAACGTAGTAATGAAACTTCTGTTTGATAGTACAACAATTTTTCCAGATTTCCAAGCTATTTAAAATGATAAATGTGTTTTTGTGAAGAGTTCCTTCATGTTCCCCAAGTAATAATCCGCATAAGGGTTTTTTTTTGTAAAACAAAACAAAATAAAAAACTGGGAGATTCCTGAAACCTGATTGTCAACAGACAGAGACTATCTGTGCTTTCAGATATTCTGAAGAAAAGAAGAGAAAGAAAGGGCATTTGACCTCTGTTCCTGTATGGATTTTCTGCATGCAGAAGTGACAGCAATCAGCACTAAGAGAAGTGAAAAATCAGGAAGTGGCAGCTCTTTATCTGAACACTGTGGCAAAGCAGCCTTTGATTCCAGTCTTCACGTAGCTATTGAATTTCCTGAATTGTGTGCAGAAGCCACCTCTGTGAGAACAGACTTAAAAGATGTAGAAAACGACATGCAAGAATTTTTAAAAATATCTTTTCTGTTTCTCTCTTCCCCCCCCCCCCCGAACCTCTGAGACTATCTATCATTTCAAGAAGAAAATTATTTTGGTGGTTTGGATCAGCCTGTTCTAATCTAGTGCTTCCAGATGTATGGATTTCAGCATGACCAGCTTTTTTTAGCCAGCATGGCCATTGGTGTGGATTCAGGTGCTGGCAATGTATTTGTGGGAGTGGGGCATTCAGTTTGAAGAGAGCTGGTTTAGATAGCCAAATTGAAAGTGTCATTTTTAATCACCTATATTATAAAGGTCACCTTATTTTAAGGATAAGCAAAAGGTAAAGTTTTCTCCTGCCCAGCCATGTCCAATTCTAGGAAGCGGTGTTCAATTCTGTTTCTTAGCCGAAGGAGCCAGCATTGTCCAAAGACACTTTCCGTGATCATATGACCAGCATGTCTATATGCTGAGGTGCACGGAAGACTGATACTTCCCCACCAAAATGGTACCTATTTATCTACTCGCATTTGCATGCTTTCAAACTGCTAGGTTGGCAGGAGTTGGGTAAGAATAGGAGCTCGCTCATCATACAGTACTTGGGTCTTGAACTGCCAAGCTTCCGGTCAACAAGCCCAGCATCTTAACCACTGGGCAACCGTGATGCTTCAGGTCAAGCAAAACAAATTCCAAAAATAGGAAATAAAATTGTATTGCGTGCTTTCCTAGAAGAGATAACCCAACAGCCTATCATGGTAGGAGTGATACTGTGACCATGAAATAGCTTTCCCAGTGCAAGTTTCATCCATTTTATTTTGGATGTACTGATTTGTAGTTTCCACAAATGTGGGAAAATAGATCATGAGTAGATTTGATTCTGCCAGGAAGATTTGTGGGTGGGTTTGTGGGTGGGGTGTGTGTTGCAAATTCCCTTGCTATGATATATTGAAATTCAGCACAGGCACCCAAGACTTCTGGATTAAAATTATATAGCTCTTTTTATTTGAAACCATAAAAATATAGCCTAATCAAGTTCAGACCAGTTGGAGAGGCACCTTTTTAAGGAATTGTGAGATAATCCTTTTTATCTCTCTTCAGTCTCCAACTTTGTTTAGTTCAATGTGTCTTCTGAACAATGGCAATATTCATGGGAGCTGCAGTGTACAGTACATTAATTCTTAATTTCTCATCATAATGAGAGGGTGAATTTCTAGAAATGGGGAGAAATTTGTCCAATTCATATTTTAATTGGTAGCAACCTAATTTTGCAATATTGATCCAATCTTTCATTTAGTGGAATGGAGGTGGGCCCCCGCCCCCTGGGTGCATGTTGGGGAGATGTCACCCTTTGTGAGGAATGAAGAAATGCACCATCACCTGGAAGTGGCCAGCAAATGGCCCTCACCTACTTCACATATTGCATAACCCAAATAAGTGTGAGTAGTTTTTTGGAACAGAGATGTGTCACTTCAAGGAACAAACACTTAATTCATATTTCAATCTCTCATCAATGGAGAACTTCCGAGCTTCCAAAGAGTCAGAATCTCACTTCCTAATACTTGTCAATAGAGAAGCACTTTGCTGTAATTGTAGTTAAAAACATCTGGAGGGCTGCAGTTGTTTTCTGTATTGTGCAGTTTCACCAACATCAACACAACCAAAACATATCTGTACTATCTATTAACTATTATTTTTTACATATACAAGATTATTTATTAATCAAATTTATATAGCCGCCCGTCTCATCAAAAGTGATGCTGGGTAGTGCACAACAAGATTAAAGAAGTAATAAAATAACTCAGCTCACTATCAAAACAACAAAGAAGGCAAGCATTCCTCAAGCCTCAGGATACTGTATATTAAGAAACTTGGAAATTTTAAATCTATTTTGATGCACTCATGTTTTCATGGGCAGGAAGGATTTTCTCTGTAGTCACATTGATTCTTTCATACTATTTTTTAAGTATTTGTGCAATCCGGGGTTTATGCATGTAGACTTGACTGATTGGTCAGTCACCACACCGGAAAAGGTAGTGAGATCAATGAACATTACTATCGGGATACTAGATTTGTTGAGATTCCAAACAAATTACTTAAAACCTAAGGGAGAACACCCTGACTGATCTGGTTGGAGATTGTCACTGAGAGTAAATTTTAAAAGGAAGTGATGAATAAGACCTTTCAAAAAAAAAAAAAAGCCCAGGCTGATCTATTTGCTATAAATTAAAATCAACGCTGCCGCTTTGCAACGTAAGTAAAGTTAAATAGCCACGTTAGCAGATCTTGTTTTGCAAAAGGGATTTGTGTGCGTTTTCAT